ATTGTGGTTTCACTGTGACGAGTCCATTCTTACTCAGTACTATATTCTTGAAATCCATTGTCCATTCATTTATAACATAACACTGAGAGCCAACAGTATTTCCTTTTTGGCTTTAACGGAATAGATTAAAATTCTTTGGTTTGTATGTACCCGAAAGATAGCCTACGAGTCTGGCCACATGATTCAGGTTTTTGTTACCTAACTGCCAGCCTACCCCGTTTGTAGCCTTTGTAGCCTTTTCTCTGCCATCACGTTCAAGTTAATAACACTTCAGTTGTCTTCCTAAATTATTATTTACGTAGTAATTTTGCTTCTGTGACTTTGTAGAAAGATCATGTTACAGTGGCAGAACCTAAAAGTTTTCTGGTATCAAATTAAATCACATGAAATTGTTTCCCAAATCAAGCCAAAGTGAAAGAAGTTATCCACTCCCTAGAGATTCAAGGTGAAATTTGGGGCATTTTCCCCCTTTTTCTTGTTTCCACTGGCATTTCCCCTCCACCACGCAGGCACACACGCAGACCAGCCCACCCATGACTTCATCACAAAGACAATTCACATTTCCTGATCTTGTGCAAAAATTAAGCCAATGATGAATTGATGCTAGTCTTTTCATCCCATTTCCTTCTTAAGTCTGTTCTATGAAAAATTTGGCAACTTCCACTAATAGCACTGCAATTTCCTTCTCTGTGACATGAACATGCTGAACTAGGTAATAATAAGCCTTTTTTACATCTTTAAATTTCTATACTGAATGTCTTCATCCATTGGTGTATCCAGATGAATAATGAGGCTGAAGAATTAAAAAGTTAGGTATAAAAAAGATTTTCCAAAAGTCATTTATTTATGCAAAAGTGCAATGGATAGTATTTCACTGGTTTCTAATTATTAAATTTGACGTAGTCTACTCCTAAGTGATAAACACAGTACTAGTCACTGGTGATGACATATCACAGAAAGCACATTCCTTTAAAAAAATATCACTTTCTGGGCCAGGGATTTATCGCACTGCTCCTGCGTGGCACACACCAGGTCCTGAGTTCGATTCTGGTTGCCAGAAAAAAACATATCACTTTCTATGGGGAAAGAAAAGACTAACATTGTCCACTGGATTCATAAGTTGGCAGAGAACAGTGGCCTGACGTGTATGAAACATGGGTCCTGTTGATGATACATTATACATAACATAGATATAATAATATATTGTATAGTAATAACATATGTATGAGCCTTGGCTTACAAACTCGATCAGTTCTCAAGGGCTAGTTGTAACTCAGTACGGCTGAGATCTGGATGTTTACCTGGGTACGCGCTGTAGATCACAAGAAGCAGAGGAATCTTCCGCTAACCTAATTCACCCAAGTTGTTCGTAGGTTAGGTGGGTCGTAATTTGAGGGTCCACCGTACCTGCTGAGTCATCTAACATTTTGAAGACGTGTCGTTTTTTATGCTCTGTGCCAGCCCGCTTAGTCAAACTGCAGTGCCGTGTACCTTGGCCTCACTTCCTCCTCGCCCGTGCTCAGCCTTCATGTCCATCCAGCCATCTGGTAAACTTGCCCTCGTGTTGCCAGGGCCACTTTACCTTCGGAGTCTAGACCACGACTGTCCCTGTCCTGAGTTTCGGCAGCTTCCTTCTGCTCCCTTGGTGCTTCTTCTTGTCTTTCCAGCTTCCCTCATACTGAGGTTTTATTCAGTTTTTTAAAAAATTCCCCATGGTTTCTTATCTTCCTACTTTGTACCTACTGTTATGCTCCTGAGAGACTACATCTTCTGGTCAATTTCTCATGTTAGAGGTGACTTATCTTTGGTGGTTTTTTGAGCCTTAAAAATCTAGGTTAAGTACTTTTACTGTATTACCTCCATCGTTACAGTCACCATGCTGATTTTCCTGCCACTTAGCTACACCCCCAGCCCTCCTTACTCTATTTTAATTGTGTTTGCTTATGTGTGTCAGTGACTAAACCGTAAGCTCTCTGGATGCTGAAAATCTGCTTGATTCAGTATTGTACGTTTATCAAGCACTGTCAGGCTCATAGGCATCCAGCGATTATCCAATGAATTAACAGTTAAAAGGTAAGAATCACAAACTACTAGCTGTGGGCCATCCATCTGTGTTTCGTAAATAAAATTTTATTTGAACCTGGTCATGCTTATTAGTTTATAAATTGTGGCTTTTAAAATTTCTTTTCTCTTTTTCCTTCCTTCCTTCCTTTCTTCCTTCCTTCCTTCCTTCCTTCCTTCCTTCCTTCCTTCCTTCCTTCCTTCCTTCCTTCCTCCTTCTCTCTGTCTCTCTCTGTCTCTGTCTCTCTCTCTCTCTCTCTCTCTCTCTCTCTCTCTCTCTCTTTGATTATAGAAGACATAACCAGAAAAGCAGTTCTGTGGTCTGCGAACAAAAGGTCTGTGATCATTTGATCAACATTTTAGTGTCAGTATACATAGGATGTTCCAGGTTTTTTACTTCTTCTTGAATGAGTTTTAGTAGTTTATGTCTTGCACTTGGACTTAAACAATAACATGGGTTCTTTTCGAAGTCTCCAGGTTTCCCACTAGTTCCACACTTAATGGGCCCTGTAACTGCCTGGTCCGTTCATTAAAAGCAGTCCTGTTCCTCCTTTTCCTCCGCAGAACCCTGACTAATACACGCCGACACGTACTGTCTTATCACCGAGTCAATCTTACATACTTTAGATACTTTTTCATGGTAGTGTCTCATTTCCAGTTCGTTCTGTTTCGTTTCTCTGTTGTGGTGTAATAAAACCACCTCAAATTTTAGAGGATTAAAACAGTAACTATTTTATTTGCTTATCAGATTTATGTTAAGAATTGGGATGGAATATCTCGGCTTCCTACTGTCAAAGACCTCAGCTGGAGTGGCTCAAGGGGAGAGGAGGTGTTTGGGAGGGTTTGACTGGGGCCACATGTCTCTGGCCTCAGTTCGGGTGTAAGTAAGTATTTTGGTTCTCTTTCACATCATAACTGGGTCTGACAAACTGGAGTTTATGTTTTGCAGCCTAGTGGTTGAAGACCCAACAAGGTTCTAATCCACAATCACCTAGCAAGACTCAGTTTTGTCGTACCTGCTGTGTATTTGCTGTGTCCGTCTGATAGGACTTCCATAGCAGAATGCCATGGGCATGGTGGCTGAAGCAACAGGACTGTGTTTTGCATTGCTCTGGAGTCTGAAATCTACAGTAAAAGTGCTGTCAGATTCGGTTTCTCTTGAGTCCTCTCCCCTTGATTAGTAGTTGGCTTCTTCCCCTGTGTCTTTGCCTGCCTTTCTCTGGGCGCACACCCCTCTGGTATCTTTGGGATCCTTCCCTCTTCATACAAGGACAAGAGTCTCACATGATATTCCCCCCTCACTTTGACCTAATTAAACCTTAATCTCCTCCTTCTTTAGGCTTAGTGTCCCTCTAAAATTAATATGTTGGAACTGAACCCCAGAGTGAGGGGGACTAAGAGATAGGTCTCTGGTGTTGATTTGTTCACATCCAAGAGGAGGGTATGAAGCCTAGTTGTTTATATGCCAGGGGTTGCTGCATCTTCTAGTTATTGCTATTTCATTCTAGCTCAGCTGGGAATGTAATCCTTGATTTAAAAAAAAAAAACACTTTTGTTTCAGTATATTCAAAGCAAATGTTTCACATGACAAGCTGCCCTTTGGAGTTTATCTGTACTGGTTCCAAGTTTCATTCTTTTCATTTCCTGGCCTTGACACAGAGTACTCCACAGGCCCCAGAGAGGAAATCCCTGCTAGGTGTGTGCAGTGTGGACAGGGGACCTCGCCTCGCCAGGAGGAGGGGTGCGTTAGAGATTCACATGTTAGGTGGGCTTGCTTCTAGCAAATTTGAGTGAGTCAGAGTTTGTTTCTTTCTGGTTTTTGACACTGGGTTTCTGTCTCCTGATTCTGCAGGCACCAATACACATCACCCCAGGTTACCCGGCTGTGCTGCTGATGCCCCCGATGTACCCTGCTCTTTAGTGTTGGAAGTACGGCACCTTTCCTTCTGAGTTACCTACCGTCAGGCTGTCCTTCCCAGTCCCGTTTTGCAATTCCCACAAGTACGTTTAAAATGTTTCGAAGAGGTCCTCCTCCCCACTTCATTATGTTTTTAACACTTCATGACAAATACAATTTCATTGTGTCTTCATGGAAAAGGTCCTTGGCTTCAGATCCATGGGCGTTCTGGACTGGATCTACAAAAGTTATTTGGGGTAGGCTGGGGACTTAGGTCAGTGGTTCCACCACTTGCCTTGCATGTGCAAGGACCCGAGTTCGATCCCCCATACCCCCGCTCCCAAAGCAAAAGTTATTGGGGCAAGATGGAGCAGTTTTCTCCCTGTTAAATTTCATGGACAAGGATAGTGGTGGCTTTCTATCTGGTTGGTTGGATGGCTAACAGACTGTTCCTTTCAGAAAGTCAGAGAGGATTTCATTATTAATGTTCTGTCAGGCCTTGAACAATGAGGCTAACAAACTTATTACAGGTGAGTTATAAAATAAATTCCTTATGTCTTTTTTCTTTTTTCTTTTTTTTTGTACTGGCGATCGAACTTAAGCCCGTGAACTTGCAAGGCCGGCAGCGGAACCACTGAGCCAAATCCCCCATCCCTCTAAAATAAATTCCATACTTCATAGTGCTAGCTTCTGTTACAGAAAAGAATGCTTCATTATTTCACTGCTGATTTTACAATAGGCTATCTCTCTTTAAATCTTACTTTTATTAGTTCATGATATGGGACTATTCTGGTATTTACTAAGTCCATATAGTTACCTAACTCAACAGGTGGTTACTGTCTTTCTCTTCTACCGGGGTGGGGAGTAACCTTCCTTATTAGAAAGTAAGGATTCTATGGAGAAGATTCAGAGAAAAGAATCACACGGTTTGTAGGGCACTTGATTATTTTCATCAATATGGCTTAACATCAAAGGGGATTTCACACTCATCCTGATAATACCACATAGTTTTCATCATTGCCAGATCTCTCTGTGGGGAGGAAACATTTCAATCATTGTCGGAGTAGCGCAGTCAGTGTGTATGTTAGAATGGTTTCTTGTGGTTACCGGGACTTATCTTTGTAGCACTAGCTGCACAAAAGGGCTCCTCAACTGCTATTGTACTAAAATAGCTGAGGCAGCTCCCTTCACTGGGGTGTTGGCTCTTCCCGGGGGCGGACAGATGATGCATGAGTCCAGTTCTCCTTGTTATAAGAAAACACCTGAGGCGAAGTGGCTTTATAAAGACGTTCGCTTTGGCTCATGGTCTGTCTAAGGGCCAGTGCTGCATCGAGTGATGACCTCCTTTCCGGCAGAGTCCTGAGGTCCTTGAGGGACTCACGTGGCGGCAGACAGGGAGTAGGATGTGGTGTGCATGTGAGTGTGTCCTGTCTTCCGGTGTCTCTCGCTCTTCCTTTTGAAGACACTGTCGTGGAGATTCTGTCCTAATGACTTCATCCAGTCCTCGTCACCTCCCAACGGCCCAATCTCTACACAGAATCAGATTAAGGTTTCACCCTCTTTTTAAAAAAACTAACCATCATTTTAATTCTTTTTGTTTCTATTTTCCAAAGTTTCTACAATGAGCATGTATGACATAAAACCAAATCACCTTCTAAATACTTCCCAGTGGAGATTACATTTTCAAACATAAACTCTTAAATGACACACTCTAAACATATGAAAATAAAACAAAAAAGCAAATGGGTAGGAAACTCTCTCAGGTGTATTGAATACTTGTATAATTCCTAATATTCCTAGGAATGAATGATGGCTTTTTCTTTTTCTTTTTTTTTTTTTTTTTTTTTTTTTTTT